ATCATCCGACTTCCCAGATAGCATAAAGTGTTCAAAAAGAATTAATGAATAACGTTTTTTCATGTAAATTTCTGATAAGTCTAACATTTTTCTTAAGAGTAATTTTAGTCGAAGCAATTAATGCATTGAGTAATAACATATCGTAGTGTTAGCGTTATCGAAAGAACCCAGATAACATAGCGTTCAAAAAGAATTCAAAAAGAATTCAGTCCTATGTCATTAACTCTGAATTCATTTTCAGATATAAAATTTTATAGGTATAAAGAATTTTTTTTAAAGTTTCGAAAAAAATTTGTCTTACATTTGAAAATGAATTCAGAACTGATGATATACGACTGAATTCTTTTTGAACGCTATGTTATCTGAGTTCTTTCGATAACGCTAACACTACGATACGTTACTATTCAATGCATCGTTTCGACTAAAATTGCTCTTAAGAAAAATGTCTTATCTAAGGCTTATCAGAAATTTATGTGAAAAAACGTTATTTGTAGTATTAATAATTAACAAAATTTAATAGAAAGTTCTAATCATGACAAATTTAGTATTTGAGTAATTTATTAAAAATAGATAAAAATTTGAAAAACAATTTAATATATTTAATAATAACAAATAAGCATATTTGCTTTGATTTATATAATAATATGGATTAGGATTATAATATGTACTTATATACAATACAATAAAATAATTGTGTTTCCTTTAGTCAGAATAATTTGTATTATATTTTCCATGAGACTCTCTATCGTGTGTTTTGACATACATTTAATGCTAACTGCAGAAGTATGATTTTTATCTCACATTCTCATTACTCTCTGTTTGATGTAATTAGGCAATAGAATTCAACAATAGCATAAGATGTAGTTAAATTGCTTGCGTGCATGAACATAAATACGTATATATATTTTTAATTGTATGCATCGTAATATAGATACCGCATTTAAATGTTTCAAAAATCATTTAAAAAACAAAATTATCAATATGTATATGTATAAAACGAAATATGAAAAAAGTAGGACTTCGTTAGCGGAGTGATGTTTAATGACGTCTCGTGATGTTTAATGAAATAGATGTCATTATATCATCATGCTATTACTTGGGATAAGATTTCTACATATCGATAATCTACACTGGAAGATAATAAGAATGGAAGAGATTAAGAACATCAATTTTATTTGAACTAAACATGATCACAAACTTGTCTCGGCATCATACTACAAAAGTACCATTACATTCCTAATTGATTTATTGCAGTTCTTAAGAAATATTGTGATCGTAAAATTTTACATGAATCATAAGAATTCCCCTGTTGAACGGAAAACTAGCAATTCTTTTAATGTAATGTCGACAATAATACGAATAATTACTATCGTCCTTGTAATTAAATACTTTTTATCTATAAGAAAAATATCATATTCTCATAGAAACAACACCTTGTTATTCAATTTCAATGTCAAATAATGCATTCGTATTCTATTTTTAAATTTAAATTAATGTTAATCAATGGAATTTTTTATCAACATTAAAATGTTCTCCTAAATTAAAAAAAAAAATTAGAAATTGTCAAATCTCAATATTAAAATGCAAAATAGTAAATATTAATCTGAAATAGTTATATAAAAAGACATTAGCATAGTAAAATCAGTTTTAATTTTACGCATAAAGTTTATCATTATACTTTACGTCTGCATAAAACAAAATTTAATAACGCTACTGAATTGGAAAAAAAAACGTGTCCGAGAGAAACAGAATGACTTTCTTATGCTTTAAATATTTATTCTTCGTGTTTTCAGCGTATTTATTTTAAATTTTAAACCTAACTTAGCTTAATTTATTTTTAAACAGTTTATAAAAGTATAGTGTGTGGTTCAAATTTTCTATCTTAATTTTATCTTATAACGTCGATTTTTTTCAGAATGTGAGTACTGATTATGCTGAGGCATAATTTAAAAAAAAACTGTAATGAGGAGTGAGAAATCTTTTAGAAATTTTTTTCCAAATTCTAATATTAACATCAGTATCACATAATGTTTCGAAATTATTTTTTGAGTAATAGCGTAGAACTTTCGAGTTTTTTTTCTGTATTGAATTGTGTACCGAATAATTTTCAACGATATAACATAATGTTTCAACTTATACATCATTTTTCGAGTAGAAGTTTTAAGTTCTTTCTTATATGTATCCAATAGTAACTACTTTCAACTGTTTAAATATCTAGGTATTTGAATACAGATGTTTGAAATATATAGAATAACATACCCCATTTTTTAGGTGTATGACCACAGTAAGTTCCTTCTGTCGGATTATACAAACTATCGCGAATTATCTGCCAGCGAGTTCTAGTATCAGGTGCTCGCATATAATCAAACTCGTAGGTACCATTTTGCACTTGTTTGCCGCGGACACTCATAACGACGAATGCTATCGACTGCTCTTTGAACGGGCGATTGACTGAGGTAGATTGAGGTATAGGCAGGTCGGTCTTGTCAACCTTCACGCACCGAGCAATTCATGCGGACTGAGACGCGGAGATAGCGGGAAACACAACACGACTGTACTGGTCTTCGCACTTTGCCTGAACTGAGAGAGCTCGCTTGTGGTTAGCGATATGTAGGTAGTGAGTATACGGGCAAACGAGCGAGCGAACGGGTGAAAAACGAGCGGTCGTCTTGTGGAGGGGCAAGACATTCGTGTGGGCATGATGTTAGGCAGCATGCTATGTGCTGATTTGGCCTGTTGAGTTTGGCGCGGCGAAACTTGATTTTGAGAATTTCAGGGAGAGTATACAAAGTGGATTGAAACGCTTGACGTTATCACGTTACAAATATCGTTATTTGTTTTTATTACAATTGTTATAGAAATAGCTATTGACGATAAAGAAAAATCATAATCTTACTCTAGCATTTTTACTATTTTGGTTTTATAATGTTGAAGATTTTCATCTTTTCTATTAATTTTAAGAAATCTGAAAGAAATTGCATTTTTTTTTATAAATCAAGATAACTTCAAAGATATAGCATTGGTGAGGTCGTTATTAAAAAAGTATAACTTTTTTCAGTTTAATTAAAAGCATTGTTTAATTCTTTTAATCATCTTTTGAATACTTTCTTTTATAACTTTTTTTATTTATGAAATAAAAGCGAAAGTAATGCAATTCTAATAATCTATGTGATATAATTCTTTGTACATATAAAAAATTCTTCGATTGACTTTATCTTATTAAAAAAATCATTAAAAATGCATAAAAAAGGAATATATTTACATTGCACATACATTCGTGTTTTACATTCGTATCAGCCTTGAATTAAATTTTTATAATTTATCTAAACATTCTAGACAAGTACAAAAATTATTCTCTATTAATTGTATAATTTTATTTTCATTTATTTTTTTCAGAAGAATTTTGATTTAAAAAAAATATAATTTTTAAAAATATAAAAATATAAAATTTTAGAAATTTTAGAATCGAGAAATTTGTAATAAGAGTCATGGTTACGCTCTATGACGATGTAAAATAAAAAATTATTTATATCTTTATTATACTTCTGCTGCTATATTCTTGCACAAAAATAAAAATGCGATTTTGATCATACATAAATAAAATAACAAAAAAAAATATTAAATAGACATTTATTTTTATTGCATATAT